GAAGTTTGCTGTGAGGTTACATCTAGAAATGTCAGAAAAGCTATACCCATGTCGTCTCATCAACATGGTTATGCAAGATAAACCTTGAGCTCCAGAAATCACAGCTTTGCATTCTATTCCCAGTTTTGCCAAGTGTTAGCTACATAACTTCGCAAGTGAATTAAACTCTCCTCATCTATGGGTTGGAGATAAAGATTCAGAGATGGGAGGGGAAGAAAAACAGTGTGTGGCATTCATAGCTATTTAGTTAAGGCAGCTAATTAAAATCAAATGGACTCACCTACTAAAAAATTGCCTATATTTTATGTGTATAAGTGCTTGCCTACACATATGTTTATATACCGTGTGTGTGACTGTGCCTGTGGAAGCCAGAAAGGGAACTGGATCCCCTAAGACTGGTATTAAAGATCATTGTAAGCTGCCATGTGGGTTCTGGGAACAGAACCCAGGTCCTCTGAAAGAGCAGCCTGTGCCCCTAACTAAAAAGCAATCTCTCCATCTTGTCTTTGGCTACTTTTTTTTCTCTCTTCTCTCCTCCTGCCCTTCAGCCTTCCCCCCCCCCCATTCCCACCTCCTCCAAGGCAAGGTCTCCCATGGGGAGTCAGCAGAGCCTGGTACCTTCAGTTGAGGCAGGTCCAGGACCCCCATCCCTGTATCAAGGCTGCACAAAGTGTCCTACCATAGGCACTAGGCTTCAAAAAGCTGGCTCATGCACCAGTACAGGTCCTGATCTCACTGCCTGGGGGCCCGCTAAACAGTTGAAGCTAAACAACTGTCTCGCCTATCCAGAAGGCCAAGACTAGTACCATGGGGGCTCCTCAGCTATTGTTCCACAGTTCATGTGTTTCCATTAGTTTGACTAGGCCATCTCTGTACATTTCCCATGATGATCTCGATGTCCCTTGCTCATAGAATCCCTCCTATCTTTCATCGAATGGACTCCTGGAGCTCAGCCTGGCACCCGGCCGTGGATCTCTGCATTTGCTTCCATCAGTCACTGGATGAGGGCTCTATGATGACAGTGAGGGTACCCAGCCATCTGATCACCAGAGTAGGGGTTTTGGCTACTTTTTACTTATATTGCTGTACTCTAGGATGTTCCTATAAAATCCCTCCCAGTGAGAAAGTTGCAGACTGTCAAAACTCAAATTTCCTCATTTGCAAAATGAATTCATTACTTAATTTGACTGACATGTCTACAGAGAGACCACAATGTGCTAGGAAGTTTTCTAGGCTTTGAGGATACTAGAGCAGTTAAGATAATGGCTTATTGAGGTTTACATTGAATGACAGAAACAGGGCACAAATCAAAAGGCAATTGACTAGAAGAAATGCATGTACATAAAGTAAACAATGCAGCATAGAAGACAGAAATTTTCTGGAAACAAAGTCTGAGATTGGGGAAGTGACATTTGAGGTGAGAGAATAATTTTCATTGAATCCAGGAAGAGGAAACTAAAGCAAAGTTCTCAACAAGGTGCAGGGAGGCAGTCTGCTTTTTTTTTTTTTTTTAGGTTTCTTTTTTTTTTAAATTTAATTTAATTTAATTTTACAATACAATTCAGTTCTACATATCAGGCATGGATTCCCTTGTTCTCCCCCCCTCCCGCCCCCTTCCCCTTCCCCCCAGCATACCCCCCATTCCCACCTCCTCCAGGGCAAAGCCTCCCCTAAGGACTGAGATCAACCTGGTAGACTCAGTCCAAGCAGGTCCAGTCCCCTCCTCCCAGGCTGAGCCAAGCAACCCTGCATACAAAGAATAGGGGACCATGGTAAATAAAGACCACATGAGAATAGGAAGCAAAGTGCTAGAGAGGCCCACAGAAATACACAAAGATACCCCCACAATAGACTGCTGGCAACAGTTGAGAGACAGCCTGAACTGACCTACTCTGGTGATGGGATGGCCAAACACCCTAATTGTCGTGCTAGAAACCCCATCCAATGACTGAGGGAACTGGATGCAGAGATCCACAGCTAGGCCCCAGGTGGAGCTCTGGGAGTCCAATTAGCGAGAAAGAGGAGGGTTTATATGAGCAAGAATTGTTGATATCAAGGTTGGATAAAGCACAGGGAAAATAGCCAAACGAATGGAAACACATGAACTATGAACCAATGGCTGAGGGGTCCCCAACTGGATCAGGCCCTCTGAATGGATGAGACAGTCGATTGGCTTGATCTGTTTGGGAGGCATCCAGGCAGTGGGACAGGGTCCTGTGCTCATTGCATGAGTTGGCTGTTTGAAACCTGGGGCTTATGCAGGGCAGTCTGCTTTTGATGTTTAAGAGAACTAGCACAACTGTGAGTGAGAGTGGGCAATAAGAAGTGCTCATGGGTTAAGCTGAGTTTGGAGGGAAGCTCAAGCCAGATCATATGTATGTATGGGCTGATTAGCCGTGATGAACATTGGGTTTCACTGTGAGTAACTGGAAGCTACTTATCTTAGTTTCTGTTCTACTGCTGTGGGGAGACGCCATAACCAAGGCAACTTAGAATTTAGCTGGGGCTTTGCTTACAATTTCAGAGGGTTAGTCCGTGAATGTCATGGTGAGGAGCATGGCGGCAGCCAGGCAGGCATGGCACTGGAGCAGTAGCTGAGAGCTCACATCTGATCAATAAGTTGCAGCCAGAGAGGGATAGACTGGGCCTGGTGTCAGCTTCTAAAAACTCAAAGCTCACCACCCCCCACCCCCCAGTAACACACTCCCTCTAACAAGGTCGCAACTCCTAATCCTTCCCAAACAGTTCCACTAACTGGGAACCAAACATTCAAACATATGAGTCTATAGGAGCCATTTAAGCTACCACACTACTATAACATGTGCACTAGAAATGGTGTGACTTATATTTTTAAACTGTTGCCATGTTAGAGGGGAGAGGAAGTGACAGTGATCGCCAATCAGGAAGCCACATCAAGGGTGTGGTGATCTAGGGAGAGAGGTGGAGATTTGGGTCATGTTATACTGGTTCTGAGCAAGGTAGGATGGGAAAAGTGGGATGAAGATGATGTTTTCAGGTAGACAAAATGGATGGTTTGGCTATAGGATGGAGGAAAAGAAATGCCCTTTGAGTAACAGGGTTTGATGGTGGGCTGATGAGTTCAATTGGAAATGCTTGTTAATCATCTTGCATGAGATGTCAGGTAGGCAATATGGATTTAGGAGAAGTCCTAGTTGGAGATTAACTTTGGGTGTCTATAGTGAACCAACTATATATCTAAGCCATCTGAACAGATATGATCACTTCAGGAATGATTTTACGGAGAGGAGGAACCCTGCTACTCAATAGACAGGGCTTTGCACTTGTATATTTTAAATAAAATATTACTTGAATTCAAAATGGAAAATTGTGGTGGGCAGAGCTGTGTTGCTTCAGGATATGTGTATATTTGTGGGTTTGGGGCCCTAGGATCCTGCGGGTGGAGCCTTCCCTTCACTTGCCACAGCCCTAAAAAGGTCCAGATTTTTGTTAGACTTAGAAATTCTAATAAAACAAATACTAAGAGCAGAAGGCCTGTCCTGTGTCCCCTCTTCCTCTCATGGTTGACCGTTTTCTTCCTGATGCTAGCCAAGGCATCAGAAGGCTCAGGTTGAATTTCATGGTTCTCTTCTGTGGATAAACAAACTTAGAGATTTTTCTTGGTAAGATTCAATTAGAAAACCCACAGATGGAATTATAGACTACCAGATCTGGAAGCTAACCCAGAGACGCTCTCTTGCGATCTCTTCCATCCTCTGAGAAGTGAGTGATGATGCCTGGAAGAGAAGGGAGCTTGCCCAGGGTAACCTGGAGAGGCAGCTGGGCTCTGCCCCTGCATTCTCTAGTTCAACATGTGGTGGAACAAATGTGACACAAACCTTGAAGATTCTTTTGCAGAGGAGCTGAACAGATCCAACTTGGTTAAGTGAAGTGAGAGGTATTGAAGAGAGTAAGTCGTGTTAGGGCTGCTGAGGGTCTTCGTTAAAGGATCTTCCAGTAATTAGAAATTTAACTTTCTTTCAGTGGATGCTAGGATTACTTAGCCTAGAATCTCCGAGCGAGCCTTGGAGTCCCAAATATCTAGGCTCCAGATTCCTGGACTGGGGTTACGGAGATGCTTGGTCACTAAAATACTTGCTGCACAAGCACGAAGACCTGAGTTCAGCTCCCTGGCACCCATGTAAAAGCCAGTCTTGGTCTGTAAGCCCAATGCTGGGGGCAGGGCAGAGAGGGGATCCCAGAGGTTTTCTTACTAGCCAGTCTAGTGCAACGGGTGAGCTGCAGGCGCAGTGACAGACCCTCAGAACATAAGAATCAGAATGATAGAGGAGGCTGCACACCATCAAACTCTGGCCTCCACATGCAAGTGCGTACACATGAATGTGAGCCTGCACTAACACACCCAGATGACAGGCAGACAGACAGACAGACAGACACAGAGACTTTGATTCCTAGACCTTCTAGAAAGTATATTTGTATGTGCATACACACATTTTCTGTTTCAGGGCAGAGAGTAAGTATTTACTAGATTATCAAATACCCAACTAAATTTTTGTTCTTTATAAAAATTAACAAACCTGAAAAAACCTTGTAGGTAAAAAACAGCTAAATGGTCACTTTAGGCCATGTACTATTTTAATTATAGCAGCTTAGCTACCTATTTTCACTAGCTAGTGTATTAAGGCAGATCATGGAAATAAACTATGTTTCTGGGAAGAATGAAGAAAAACAAGTAAATGGATTAATACAGAGTAGAGAGAAGTACCTGTATGTTTTCATACCAGGAGATCAGTGGAACAGAATCTTTCTGTGGCACTCAGCAAAGTGTGCCTCATGCACCCAACCTCAGTGTGCTCGTAGCTCTTTGATATAGTATGGGTTATTAAATCATTCTACAAAATGAAAATCCCAATCTATTGATAATCTATTGGAAGCAATACTTACTTGGTATTTTCTTCCTGTAACAAAGACCTTTATTTTTCCGTGTTATTTTCCCGCTTAACATCTTATTTTCCTTGCAGGATCCTGCGGGCACTGAAAATCGACACACTCATGCCCATTTCCTGTAATGGACAAACTTGATGCTAATGTGAGGTATGCTACATTTCTGGATCTATTGTGTTGCTGCCGGTGGGAGTTTGTGCTAGACGGCCTCTGCAAGTCTGTTGTAGTGGAATTTCAAAGCTAAAATGGACGTTCTTAGCTGTATAAACTACAAGTATGATATACTGTTGGATTATTAGTGCTTCATTACTATGCTTAAATGATAAAAACCCAGCTGTTAATATTTCTAGCTGTATGAACCAATAGACACCACTTAAAGGTATATATTCATTTTTGCAATAAGAAAAATGATGCATTTGAATGGAAGTAATATGGCTGAGGATAATCTGTTTGCACCTAAACTTCAGATATAAAAGTAGCTTTGTCTGAAGTGTTTTAGTTTACCCACTTCTGTTTTCAGCCAGGGCATCAGATCATGGTTATCTGATACCTGTGGTTAGTATGGTATATGGAGTTATGTTACCCTAAATAGTTTGGCTGTTGCTATTCTTGTAATTTTCTGTAAAGCTTGGGGATGGGATGTTCTTCCTAGAGGCTTGTTCTGATTTATTTGGCATTACCAAGCAGTGCAAAGAAAGTTGTATTTAAGGAGGCTTAAGTGGTCTGCTTCTGTAGCACTGAGGATTATCCACGGTAACTCCAGATGGAAGGCATCACATGCCTTGTGAAATTGCAGGAGCCATTTTTTTCCTTTCACATGAGACTGATGGGAAAGGTATAAATTAGGGGTCCGTCTTCTGGTTTGATGTGGTAGAACCTATGACAGCTGGCTTGACAGGAGCTCTGGCTTGGCCTGACTTGAGTGTGCTATCTGATGAAGTTAGAGGATCCCTAAAAGGCAGAGTGTGTCTCACGATACAACGCAGCATCGCTGGCACCTGGTGGGTATTGGATAAAGAGCTGTTGATCAGCTAGTCATCAGTGTACGATACATATTTCAACAGCGTTGTATTCCAGTTCACCTAGATATAAAAAAGGACTATTTAGCAACATGTCTTGTGCCCTCAGTATTAAACATAGTGGACTCTGTTATTTACCCAATAGTAAATAACTTAGTGTGGTTATAAGACTCCATGTGGACTTTTAAACCTATTGGCATGTGCTTTACTTCCCTCTCAAAGCTTGTGAGGTTATTTATACAGAGAATACATAATGAGATCCAGAGAACCTCAGTTTTCATTTGTTAACCAAAATCCAGAGTGAGCAATATTGATGATGCAACATTACAAAACAGCTTTAAGTTCTAAACCTTGGATCAAACAGGGTTAGTTGATTAAAACGCACCACTGGGGGTGATAATTCAGACATTATGATCCCTTACATTGCTAGCTTTTAGACGTTTATTTATAGCAGCATTAGCTTTGGATGGCAAAACATGATTCTATTAAGTGAACATTAGCTGTTCTCCTGGGATCCTGTGGAACAATGGTGTGGGATTCAAGATGATATCACACCCCAGAATGCTGTCTGTGGACTGTTCTTTCAGTCCGTTTTCTAACCGGATCCTATCAACATATGTTCATCCTTACCCACTCCCTCTCTCTACCCACAATATTAGTAACAGGCAAATGTCATGGACTTTATATTCATTTCCTGCTCAGAACAGCCTCTGAGTGTCCATAAAAAAAGGACATTTTGGCTCACATTTGCCAACTTGTGATGCATATATCATTAGTAATTTACAACAAACTTAGGTGGTATACCAACAACTTTTTATTATTACAGAGAGTAATATTATTTTGTCATTTATCAAGTAAAATAAATTTCCTTTTTATAGAAACATTTAATTTTGAAAGTGAGTTTATATAAAGAAAAATGAAATCCAGAAATAATTATTAATAAATTAATATAAACAATCACAATGGTTTAGTATAAATGATGATGTTCTAGAATGTTCTAGGTATAGCTAGATAGAGTAAATTTTACCCATTTGAGAAAAGAGGCCAGAGTTTCTTCTTTTCAGTTGCTATCTTCCAATGGAAAGTAAATACATAATGAGGCGAGAGCTAAGGTTCTGGCCCAAGACAGGGACTCTCTTATTTGCTCTGCAGACAGAGGAAAACCAGTGAGGGGAGAGAGAAAGTTAGAAGAAAAAGAACATTTGGAGAAAAAGTGACTGGGCTCAGATGGGAAACAGCTTAGCAACTGATGGTCTTGCAGCTCTAACAGACATTGAGATTTGTTATATGTATTAGTGAATATGTATACCCTCACTAATGACATACACACACACACACACACACACACACACACACACACACACACACACACACACCACAGTGGTATGTGTGTTGACATCTCACAGGACTCAGTCTTTCAACAACATTAACTTGATGAAAATTGGGTGCTGAATGTTTGCATTGTTGGACATGTGAGATCATTTGTGAGCTATAATGTTGATTTATATCACTACATTTAATACAAAAGTAATCCCAGAAGCTATTACCAACTTCATCATTACCAACTTCACAGTGTATGGCAATTAACAAACAAAGGTTACTTATGCTCAGGGTCATGAACTATTCTGTCTTCTTTTATCCTATAACTGTTCCGTAAATGACTATATGGTGTGTGTGTGTGTGTGTGTGTGTGTGTGTGTGTGTGTGTGTGTGTGTGTAAGTTAAAGAGACAGCCAAAGTTACATTTCTGTCTGAGTAAATATGGAAATATAGTTTGGAAAAAGAGTGAATATTCAATAATGGACACCCAAAAGGAACGGAGAAGTGTGAGACTACAAACATCTTGGGGAAAATTTCAGAAATAATTTTCACTTTCATGGGCTATGAAACCCTTGAAAGATTGAGGAACTCTAATCAAGTCTCACAGAGCATGAAGGGGTGAAGAAGTCTATGGTTGAATTTAGAGCTAAATATAATAATGTCTTACAGTTTGTCAAACCACATTGACCATTTCAGATATTGTTCATTTATCTTCATTGAAATGAATTAGCTTCTATGGCTTGGTCCTTGCTATTATCTATATTCTAGAGTTCTTGGCTAGCAGCATCGGGAACTAACCCTGGCAAAGGTAACTTGGGACCAGCTATCATGAAGCTTTAAAAAGTTAAGGCCAAAATGTTAGAGGACCATGTTTAAAAATAAACGAAGACTTGAGGAATGGTAGAGGAACCCTGGTAGTGAGATATACAGTGAGCCCTGTTCTTCATGTGTTATAAAAAGAATAAGAAGCACTAGATCTTGCTTGTAGAGGCATGAACTGCAGCGTAAACACCTTCTCCCGAAGACTCTCCAACACAGAGAGCAAGGACTGCAGGATGGCCCAAGTCATGACAGAATACCACAGGGAATTAGGACCTGGACAGTGAGTTCTGACAAATTCTCCCTTTGATAACTAGTGTCTGACAAGTTTTACAGTCAGCTGACACCTTTTCTAAACAATCTGACATCCACAGAATCCAAGGGGTTTTGGCTCCTGTGTTTCTTGTGGGGCTTGGAGTAGATGGTGGTATTCTTTTCTGGGGAGGATTGGAGAAGAACAATATCCCTAGTTTACAGCAGCTGCTCTTCCTAGATCTCCTTATAGTTAGGGAGAGGAACTCACCAGTTCTCCCTTCTCTGTAAGACTGGGAAAACATTCAAAGCATCTCTAATTGCTCCTTGACTTCAGAGAGCTCAAACTTACCGTTTGTATAACTGCATTTGCTTCCACTGATACGTGGTTTTCCTTGGCTCAGGTGTAACTCCTGAAAGCAAGCCAGGTCTCCATTCTTTTCTTCCTATTGCTTATTAGAGATGTCTGCTTACTATGACTTTGTTCTGTGAACGTTTAGTTCCAGAAAGTACAGGGTTCAAAGAAGCATTGAGTAGATGGAAAAAAGCTTTGGCGTGTCTTGAGATAATGACCCCAGACCTTGAGTAAAAGCAGTCTTCCTTTATATTTAGCTCCCTTGTATTGGTAGCTTCTTGCCACCCTAGATTTACCTCTTTTCCTGCTGGGATCTCTGAACTTTTCTCTTTGCTGCCCCAGCAGTCTCCGGAGCTTCTTCCTTCTTCAATAAGAGCATCCTCATCTGGGATTCTGTTTCTTCTCTTCAAAATGCTTCTGTGTTTTTTTTTATTAATGTTTCTTATTAGCAAGTGACAAAGCATCCTATGCAGTTAAAAATCATAAATGGTGGAAATTTCCTTTTTGCTAGGGCCCCCAAAAAAAACTAAGAGTCAAACTTAGTCTGTAAAAGCAAGGATGCATAGGTGTGGGGCTCTCATGTGCATTTATTTTATCTCCCAACTCCTTTTAGACTCTTGGGCTTCATTTGCTTTCTTGATAATGCACCTGCATCTTTGTAGGCTGATATAAAGACAGGAGAGAGAAAGAAAGACCAAAAATTAAACATTTTAAAAACAAAACACACTGTCTTGATGTAAAAATAGTGTTTTGCTTTATACAGCATATGACATTAATTAAAAACCGTAACAACATATGACATTACTTAAAAACTGTAACAAAGGTAAGTGGTTGGGTTTGGATTAATTACCCAGTTGCTGTAATATTGTGGTGTGTTTAGTTACAATTCATTACTTCATGACATTGCATTAGTTATCAGTGTGACTACAAAAATGTATTGAAATTATCCAATTTTACAAATGAAAAAAGGGCAACAATTGTGTCAATAGAGAAGTTGGTTTGGGGCTTGATTATTAGTATTTGTAACAATACATCTTAAGTTTGAAAAAATCTGGGGATGAAGTTAGAATTTTTAATGCTAACTATTTCAAAGTCTTGAAATAATTCACAGATATAAATTGCCCTCCCCAGAGACTTAGCAATATGGAATCAATTTGGAAGTAGGGTGAATTTGTGTTTGTAACCTGGCAATTGGAGTTGGGAACAGGTGCAATGATAAGACAAGGAGATGTTTTACAGGAAATCATTCCTCTGTCTCTGCAATTGTGACATTCATTAGCATATAAGGAGAAAGTGAGTGGGTACGGTTTCAAAGGAGTTATTTTTATGTTGCTTTAGAGATGTAAATGGGAATAATACTCAACTTTATAGCCCAGCTGACAAGT